ATTTGAAAACATGGTTCTTCCAGGAACCTTGAGGATGCCAAGTGGAGGCCTGCCTGATGAGTGCATTGTGTTTATATGGATATTTTCATTTATATTTACTTTTTTAAAGGATTTAAATAGTTATGATATTGTTTAGGCTACTGGTTTAAGCCACTAGTGTCATATTTAGTGAGATGGGCAGCTAAATAAATAAATAATAAAATAAACAAACGAACAAGCAAGCAAGCAAACAAATAAATACACCATCAAAGTGTATCATCTGACACCAGCCAGAGCATAGAAAAACTCAAAGAAATAGTGTAAGTTCAGAAGATGTGGGGAGACCTGGCCCTTAGAATCACCAACTGAATGGATATCATCATCATCATCATCATCATCATCACCATCACCATCACCATCTAAAAAAATAAATATGTCCAGACAATATCAGTGGGACCTATCCCAATATTAGAATTGACAGATTTAGAATTGTAGCAGAATGCTATAGCACACCACTGACTTTTCTGGTTCCCTCTATGAATAAAGGAGGTCAAAGGAGTGCCGAAAAGTGATTTTCTGTTTATACATATAAGTACAGTGGAGGTTGAGAAGTAATCACTTTCCACTCCCTTCTTCCACACATCGACCCTAATCCATTCTCAATCTTCATTCTAATTCTTTACTTGCATCAGTTGTTATCACTCTCAGCTTCCCAGTAAATCAAGGGCCTGATCTGGCTGGCTGATGGAAGAAAATTGCTAGAGACAGAGGTGTCAGCTATCTAAGTTGGACTTTTAGTCTACAGCTCTGAATACATAACAAGTATTAAGAAATAATAATAGACTTCATGCAAAAGATTAGTGATGGTCGTTTCATTCTCTGGGCTAATTGCCAACTTGTCTCCGAGTTTAATACTGAAGACTGGTTCTTAATATTAAACTTTAATACTACTCTTGTAATGGGACCATGAATTTTATTAGCAAAACCAAAGACATACTACATACTTACTTTGAAAGCTAATGTTATAAAATTACTAGAGTTACCATATTACCTTACTATGTAACCAGTGCACTCAACCAATAAAATCAATAAAATAACCCCTATATAAGCAAGGAAAAGTTGAGATCCCACAAGTTACATCTCTATCATCAACCCTGCAACCATCTGTCTCCCTACCCAATTTGCAAATTCTGAAGTGCATACAAAGCCTACACAGGTATAACAGATCTGCTTTTACAAATGTACACTTTTAAGAAGGATGATAGGGCCAGGAACTGAAGTATACTTTCACTTTCCCCTTAAACAATTTTCATTGATTAAGAAGCATATCTGTATGAAGCTACAGATGTGAACACAATAGCAAAATCCTCATTGAGCTCAATGCATCCAACCGGACATAAAACACTGAAACTGAGGGAAATGGCGAAGACAAGACTTGGCTTGGCATGCCAAATGGGTTGCCATAACTCAGTTATTTTCCTACTCTCAGTTTTGGGGTATCATTTATTCACTGACACGTCTTAAGAAAACCCTTTTTATCTTCTAGGAAAGCATTCTGGCGGTTTCTTGAGCATTGCAGGACTTTTGGGATGAGATCTAGGATGCAGTACAAGAATGAGTAGCCTGTGAGTAGGGGCAGGTTCAGATAAAAAATAAATATACAGAGGTGGTGAAAGATGGCAAGGATACAGGTGAGGTCTATTTGCAAAGGAGATGAAGGAAAAGAAAGAGGAAATAACCCAAATAGATCCACTCCAGGTTTCTTTCCCCGTATCAGTTATTAAGATTAAAAAAAAAACCAGATTAAAAAGGTTAGAGATATATGTGCTCCAAAGTCCCTTGAATTTTAAAAATATGCACTAAAATAAATGAAACTTACTTGATAGATTTTAAAGCATTGCAATTGTATATACCAGCCAGTGTTGCACTACTAAGTATTAAAAGAACCAGCTCTTAGAACATTAGATGATTAAAAACAAAAACAAAAACAAACAAAACCCTTCCAAAGACTATGGGCTTGATTCTGCTACCGTTTCTATTAAAGCCTTGAGAACACAAACATGAATTACTGTTGTGCTGAGTCTTAGTGGCAGCAAAGGGGGATTGAAAATTGCTGTTGGAAACTCAAGTAAAAAAGGACAACCGGGGGAAAAAAAAACTTCCAGTGGGTAAAATATTTGAGTGAAGGTCTGAAGTACATATTAATGGGAGGCAGGCTCATGGGAAAGAAGGCTTTAGGGTACCTAATATATGGATACTAAATATTAATAACTATACCTGCCTGCCATAGATAGGCTCAAGGGCTATCAGCAGAATTTAGATAGTGGGCATTTTTCCAGGCTCCTAACCTGTAAGAAGATTGATGAAATGATGCCTGCCAGTCTATGATCACAGCCGATCCATTTGCAAATGGTCTTCTCACTGGTGGCATCCCCAATTTGGAACACCCTTTGCTGACACCAATGCACTGCCTTTTCCAGTGGCAAACTGAAATCTTTTTCTATGCACAGGGCTTTTGAAGTAATTCTTGAATCCCTCTGTGTGTTTACAATTCAATTTGTTTTACTGTATTTAATTTTTCTGACCTAAAGCTTTAGGATGAGTATGTGGTATACATATTCCGAAAATACGTATTCCCAAAATACCTATAGAATCCAAGAGAGAACTTACAGAGGTGCAGCTGAAAATATGCAAAAGAACTGCAGGTTGTCAGCTCTGTAGGGAGAAGCAAGTGAACGTGGAATGTACGTTACCTGCACGATTAAGCAGTAATTTGTAAACATTAGATTCCCAATGAAATCACAATGTGTTTCAAGAAAATCACCTTGACCAGCTATATGCCAACAGTGCATTTTTCCAGCCCAAATGTAGGTAAGGAAACTTTGACCATACTAGAGTTACAGAAGCAATAAGTAAGAACTGTGGCAGGATCAGCTTCCTTCAAAATTTTGCTTTAGATTTTTTCCCCCCTGGTATTCCTCCCATGGAAGTTTTTTTTAAAAGAATCAAAATTGTTTTATCTCTTTCAGTAGTTTAATGAGATCCCCCCCCCCATTGCCACTTCTGGGTTAAGAAAATGCGTCCACTGCAATCATCTCTGGTCAATCGCTTGTGAAGAACTGGTGCTTATATAATATATCCCCAAGGAGGCCAAAATCTATTCCCTGATAAATCTTTTGTAGAACCTGGGATGTGAAAGTGCTAACATGATATACCTTGTGGATGTTCATTGTGAGTATGTGGGTGTACACAAAAAAATCCATCATCTCTTAGCTGAGCATAATGGTTTAAAGGACTTCTATTCAGGTTTGCTTGAACACAACTAAGAAACCTCAGCTCAGCCAAGAACCTAACTACATTCACACAGAAGCTCTCTTACTTTTTGATCATATATGAAATACCAGGACAGCAGTTTAGAGCCCAGGCCTTCAGACCCACACCTTATGTCCAGGCACCTTTAAATCCTCTTGCGAACATCAGTAGAAGCTTAATCAATATGGGAAAGAGTAATGAATTATTATGTGAAAGCCACTTGCAAGCAGAACTCCTTGGTCTGAATAATCTGGTGTTTCTGTGACAAACCATTGACTATTTGACACATCTGATGTAGCACAACATGCAGAATCTCCCCCTGAAGGAACAAAAAATTAGGGCCGGGTAATTAAGGTAATTAACCATGAAAATGCAGTGAGCATGTGTGATGTAATTTGCTATGATGTCAGTGGGCAGGCACAGATTTTTTTTTAAATGCCACGTTATCGTTTCTATAGTGCTTAAGACCTTTGCTTACCAGAGCATAGGAAATATGTTAAATCAAGTTACAATGTTAATCAGTTTAGCTCGGTGTGGTCATTCCACGGTAACTGGAAAGAATTCTCTGAGATTAAAGGCAGATATAATGTCCTACTTTACTAGTGATGCCTTTATCATGTAAAATCACTGAACTATCTGCTTTTTCCTGAACAAGGTGAGGACAGGATGCTAATCTGCATGCATTCCACAACAGAATCTCCCAGAGAAGTCAACTAGAATAGACTATAGAAGCATATAGAGGAAAGCATGTCCATGGAATGTACTGTTGTGTTGTTTTTAGAAGACTATTATTAAGGCTTTCCTGAAAGAGATGATTACATTGGAGGCATATTAATTCTTTCCTCTTCAACATTTAAATAAAAATCCTTTGAATCAAAAGAAAGTGGCAATAGAAAAGGAGCATGTGACCAAATTCTGTCAGGTGAATGTTTGTAATTAATGTCCAAGCAGACTTCGCTAATGGAGGAATTTGTTTACAGGATCTGCTATGTCAGAGATGAATACGGTAATATAGTATACTGTATCATTATTTAATAATATAGAATCCCATTATAATAAAAAACTAATTTACTATATGAAAATTATTTGAGTCCATTCTTGAAAACTGATTGAAAGACTCTTCTCTAAGTAATCAACAGTATGGAACTATTACTGTTTTTTTTTAAAGAAATTATTGATTTGGTTCATGAAAAAAATAGCGAACTGAGAGCAGCCTTCCCCAGCCGGATGCCCTCTGGATGTGTTGGATTTTAAATTTCCTAATTCCCAGTCAGTATAATTCACAGGAAAAGAAATCTAGCATATCTAGAAGGCAACAAATTGGGGAATCCTAGATTAGTTTGGTAATGTAAGATTTTGATGGCCAAGGATAATTCAATCCATTAATTACATGCAGTTAACATGATCAAGATTCCATTGGTTTAAATTCTGAAGTGTTTTAGTATTGAATCTTAACAGATTCTTTAAAATACATATTAGGCAACTGTTAAGTTATTTAGGCCATCAAAAAGCTTCTATGTACCCATTAATTCATCTCTTAGAAAGAAAAGGAACTAGATCCTGCTACAAGGTTCTTATGTAGAGGAGGTAAGTATGGAAACTAGAGGAGAAGAAAGGACAGTCCACGTTGCCCATGTTTACCTGCGATGGATGAAAATTGTCAGATTAAATACAAATGACTATTAAAATAATGAAAATTGGTTACTTACACAGTTTCATCATTCTTGAATTCCAGTTCTCCATAACTGTCTTCAAAATCCTCTCCTCCTCCTTTTGCTGTTCCTTCAACTGTTCTAAAGGGGACTATGACTGTACCCCGGGCACCGGATGTTCTAAGAACTTTCACTTCTATCACCCCAATGCTCTCACTGATATGTATCACATCACACTCGAAGGTGAAGATGCCCGCATGGTCGTCATCTAAGATAGTCACAGTAGCCACACAAGGTGAGATCAGTATGGCCTTGGGATATGGCAGTTTGTTGATTTCAGGAGGTTCCTCTGCATCAATCACCCGTAGGTTGCTAAGACGCACAAAAAAGTGTTCATCCTCTTCAAAGATATCATCATCAATGATCCCTATAGAGAACTCTTTCTGGGTCTCCCCAGACTTCAAAACAACTGTCCCCTCTGTAAATTCATAGTCAGCCCCAGCATTAGCAGAGCCATCTTCTGTTTTGTAATCCACATATATGGTCTTGGAAACATCACCTCCTTTCCGGACAACAGTTAGGAGGACAGCACCACAGTTCTCAAGACATTGATAGGAACAAGGATCAAAATAAATTTTGGAGATGAATTCTTCTGGCTCCTCTGGCCGTACTTCATGCAAGCTAGTACTCCTCTTGGCTTGCTCAGCTACATGCTTTTTGAGAATATTTCCTGCTCCAGTCATCATCCTGGTAGCCTGAATCCGATAGAATGCTCTGCTTTTTTGCTGGTGGGATAAAGCATAGTAGTTGGCCATTTCTACCAGCTGATCTAAGTCTTTTTCTGGGTGCTTTTGTTTCAGGTCCTTGAGGATCCGGATCATCTCTTTGCGAGACTCATCCACCTCTTTCCCCTCCATAGGCACTAGGTTTCCATCTAAAAAATGGGAGTTCATCATCTTACCATCCATTTCAATCCCTTTGGGATGATCCCCTTCTGTTTCAATGATAATACCCCTGTGTTTGTCAGTACGGTACTTTTTGTGCATATATTTATAGAGAAACAGCCTTCTGTCCGCAATCCAAGCCAGGATGACACAAACAGGGAAGAAAAACAGAGTGAGCAAGCCTTCCCATACCTGAACCACACCTGGAGAGAAGACCGCAAGGATCATGTATAACCAGATATAGGCAAAGATGCTCCATGCAGCTGTGACAAAGAAAACTCTCAAATGTTTTATCTTCCTCGTCTCCCCATCAGGAATGACATAGACACAGATGGCTATGATGATAAACATATTGAAAGCTGCACTCCCAACAATGGTAGAAGGGCCCAGCTCACCAGCAATGAATCCATGACCACATACCTCTATCAATGACAAAAGGATCTCAGGGGCAGAGGAACCAAGAGCCATGAGGGTCAAATTGGAAACAGTTTCATTCCATATTCGGATGGTGGTGGTGATGGCTTCTCCATTGGGTTTCCTAACCGTAATCTCTTTTTCCTGTGATGTAATGACCTCTATAGAGGCCATGAAACGGTCGGCAATGATAGAAACTCCAAGAAACATATATATGAGTGCCACAAAATAAACAATAACTCTGGCAATTTTGTCCCCCAAAGATGGGTTTTCTGGATACCATATTGGCAAGATAACACCCTCTTTGCACTCAGAAGAACCTGAGCATGTGGTGTTATGTCCTATGCTTGGTGAATCTGTCCCCGTGCCAGCATCTACTTGTAGACCATTTAAAAACAGGATAAAAGTAAAAAGCCCAAACCGGAGGAAGGCTGAAGTGACAGGTTGTAACTTTAACCGCGCCATACATAAAGCTTAACATCCACAGCACAGGTGTAATGGTCTTCTGTTCAGGTTAAGAATCTGAAATAAAGAGATTGAAACCATGAGATTGAAATAAAAGGAAGCACTAACATTCCATATATTAATGTGTTCTGTTATTCGCAACTACAAGTAGTCGTTAACTTATAACAGTTCAAAGTTACAACATCACTGAAAAAGTGACTTAGGAACGTTTTTCATACTTATGACTGTTGCAGCATCTCCATGGTCATGTGATCAAAATTCAGAAGCTTGGCACCTTTTGTGATCTTCTGACAAGCAAAGTCAATGAGGAAGCCAAATTCACTTAACAACCATGTTACTCACTTAACAACTGCAGTGATTCGCCTAACAAGAAAGGTCATAAATGGGGCAAAACTCACTTAACAATTGTCTTGTTTAGCAACAAAAATGTTGGGCTGAATTGTGGTCATAAGTCAAGGACTACCTGTAGTTATATTAGCTTATGTACAGTAGTCATATTTGGTTCATTTTACATGGAGCATGCAAAATTGAATTGTTTGCTTATCAGCCGAATAGGGGAAAACACTCTATTCTGAGCACAGCATACCTAACATTGTTATTTAGCTTAGACATGGTTAGTATCCTGACAGCAACTGAATTATTATTATTTTTAAACAATTTTTATTAGTTTTCCATTTTGCACCAACAGAAGCTTAAGAGGCAACGTGGAGATATGGTGATCAATTACAAAAAGAAAACAACAGCATTATAAATATACAGTTCACACAATATTTCTTAAAATTTCCCTCTCTATCTATATATAATATTATAATCAAATTGATTCGAATAAAATCATTCAATATATCTAAATATAAATTATCTTAATCAATCAAAACTTTCAACCGCTCAGTGTCTATTCTATACAAATCTATAATTTCTCACATATTTAAACTTAAACTGAAACTCTCCATTTATTTAAGATATATTATAATTAATACATTTCTAAAACAAATTTTCATTTATATTGCTACATAAGAATTTCATTAATCAATAAACGTTTAGAAGAGCTCATTATCTATCTCAAAAATCCTGTTTTACACTTTATTAATTTTTCAAATGTTAAAATTTAAACTAACCTCTATATTTACTATTCAGGTACCCCAAGTTCCTCTTATTTAAATCTATTCTTTTTCAATAATTCTCCAATTATTAATTCTATCTCATTCCCCCCAAAAAAGAACAAAGAATAAAGAGAAAAGAGAAAAGAAAAAAAGAGAGAAAAAAGAAGCATATTCTTGCTACATTTCAGTATTAAATTCTAAATCATTTCATAATAGCCTAGCCTCCCTTTTAATAAAATCCAAATCTAAAACAATCTGAGTTGCTATAAAACCTTTACCATCCATAATTATCACCTCAAATTTAATATTTATATCTTATTCTGGGTTTCTTCCTATTCCAAATAGGTTTCCATAGTTGAATCTCTAGTTCCGCAGATAGCTCTCCCATTCGTTCCTGCCACACTGTACACAGCAACAAGAGGTCTCCCATTATCCATTTTATTGGGCTGATATAAGAATTACAGCTATTCTGAATAACTCATGTCAGATCATCATTTCCCATCTTTTTAAAAGTTATATAAACTTTAGTTGAAATCATTTTTTTAATATAGTCCTTGTTATGGTTCCGACTAACGAAACATTTCAAAGAACTTCCAGGCATTATTTTCCTAAAAATCTTTTATTGTTACAAAATGTCGGCACAGGCACAACGGAAGATGCTAGGATCTAAGTTCTCTTCCTCTGAGCAATTAAATTATCAGCATGTTCCCTCCCTAAATTGCCGTCATATCTCACATTATCCAATTAGTGTGAAGGTCAAATGTTTTCTTTCTCTTTCTTTCCCGGGCTTTACCCCCAACCCCCCTTCTGCTCTGTATTAACCCCATAATTACCAGACAATTCTGCATATTGTCAAAAGCAAGAATATACAATATTTGCAGCGTTGACAGTCCTCTTTAATCAAATTTTGCTCTTCTTCCAATAGTTTTTCCTCTATCAGAAAGTCAAATGGTGTCTGCAAATCAGCTTGTTCTTCTGAAGTAAGCTCCTCCATTTCCTTATTATAGGTCATTTGTCCATTAATATCAAAACTTTTTTCCAATATCAATTGGTAATTCAACTGTACATTTGCTTCTTCCATCTCAGTGGACTGAGAACAAGTCTCTTGAATATAAACTGCTGTTTCACTTAAACCTTGTGCTTTGCTTTGTCGATGCAGAGAGATCTCCTTACTGCAGGCAATTATCATCCCCGTGTTTTCCAAAATTTTGTCCAAAATATACTTATAAATAGAATCTGAACAAGTTTCCTCCATTTTTATCATATTTGAAGACATTATCTTTTGGGGGGGAGACTATATTTACCAGCAATCAATCAATATCCATCTCCTCCCAAGTTCCTTAGTCTCTTTCCTTTGTACAAATTCCAAGAAAAGAAAATAGCAAAAGCAATACATAGTTTCAGCAGAAAATGTCCCCCAAAGAGTCATCAAAGTTAATTAAATATTCAGTCTTTTCGGATACCATAAAAAAATAAAAACAAACTATATTCTCCAAATTCACAGCGTGTTAAGTCTCAATAAGAAATTTCCTTGGGGCTCCCAAATAGCCAAAAATAAAATCAGCCATTAAAACAAAAATAGATTTAGTCTTTTTCTCAGGCTTTTCTTCCCCCATTTAAAACGCCGCTTCAACAAAAAGGGAAATGAGTCCAAAAAAAAAAGCTTTTCACAGGAAAAAAAAGAAAATAGAGGTAAAAAAAAAAGTCTCACCGAATCTTCCATGGTGGGTCTGTTTGCTTAGATGATCTTATGGCTTACGGTCGGCGCAGCTAAATGATCGGCCATTTTACTGACCGATCTTTAGTCCGTCGGCCCAAAGGAGATACCCGGACTACAGAGGGCGCCGCCACCCCTCTTCAGCCATCCGAGAAGCCTCCTCAACAGTGGTTGCTCCTCCAGAGCAACTTTTCGACCCTCTCAGGGGTCTACCGACAAGAAACTCAGCCGGCAAAGGGACAACTCCCTTTGATTGACCGCACCGCCGCGACCCGGAAGCTCACAGCAACTGAATTATTATCGAAGAATCACATCAGGCATTCCAGTTTTGCCCTGAAGCAAGATAACATGATAAATTGGCACTTGTTTATGATATAACCCTATGAATGTTGATTAGAATAAAACCCTAGTAATTCCTAGTAAAGAGCTCCATAATGTTGTGAAGCCAACATTAACTTTAATTGATTGACTGCAACTCCATCACCAGGGACACTAGACTGAAAGATCCCTTCTAAGACACTCAAATGAACTCAGTGTCTGAACAGGAAGTTGAATCTGGGTTTCCCTGGTTCAGCTTTCCCTGGTCCAGATTTAGCATCTTAACCAGTTTTTGTTTTGTTTTGAACTGTGTGAGTGGCTGTCAACCTTGCAAAGTAGTACAGACATAGTTCTATCATTACTGTAAGGTTACATTAACAGAATCTTGCAGGTCTGAAAGTAGATGTTTCTCCCCTCACCTTTACAGTTCAAGAAACTAGGGATGGTCCCTTTTGAGATATTAGTCATAAACCTATTCTTTCTATGGGCTCAGCTGCCCTTTAGCTGACCATTGCCTAGTCTGCAGCTCTTCCTTCTGTCTTCCAACTTTATTCCCACATACCACTGTAGTTGCTCTTAACAACACTGAGAGTACGGCAAAAATATTTAACATAAATAAATAAATAAAGCACAGGTTCAATGTTTCCAAAAGATGTTTATATTTTCTGGGAAGAACTGGGTCTCCACTTGAAGACCAAATAAGACATAGATCTTATTTGGAGATCTAATAAGATATAACTAATGTGGCTCAAGTCTACTCTCTTTTCTTTTTTATGGAAAGGCATCATCAGAGGTTGGCAAAACAACAGTATAGCATATGGCCTGACCCAGTGAGGTAAAGCTGCAGCAATAAAAATAAATCTGATTTGAAATAAACCCTAAAATCTGTATTATCAAATAGTATTTCACTTGAATATGCTAATTTTAATCCCAGAATTGAAAAATGGTTTTCTAAAAAGGACATGAGGTTTTACTAGATTGATATCCCTTGATAAGAAATCCAGATATGCTGGACTACAGCTGACAAAATTTTCGGTTCACAATTCTGGGAGCTGTAGTTCAATGCATCTAAATTGGGAAAAGCTGCTTTAGAAAATTTGCAAAATTTAGGATAGCCGTATAGTGAAACAATAACAATAAATACCTAAGTGTGCTTCAAGCACCTATTAAACCTAACTACAACTAACTTTCAAGGCTAGAACAGAAAATAGTATCTAAGCACTCAACATCCCTGACTAAAAAAAAATGATTATACAGGGAGTCCTTGACTTAAGTTTACAATTGAGCCCAAAATTTCTGGTATGAAGTGAGTTTTGCCTTATCTTATGATCTTTCTTCCCACAAGAGAATCACTGCAGTTGTTAAGTAACAAGGCTGTTAAATGAATCTGGCTTTCCCATTGATTTTGCTTGTCAAAAGGTTGAAAAAGGTGATCACATCACCCAGAGACAACCATCATAAATATAAGTCAGTTGCCAAGCATCGGAATTTTGATCACGTGACCAAGGGGATGCTGCAATGGTCATAAGTGTGAAAATTGGTCATAAATCACTTTTTCCAGTGCCGTTGTACCTTCAAACGGTCTCTAAATGAACTGTTGTAAGCTGAGGACTACCTGTAGTTGGCAGAGTTGAGGGATGGAGTGAAAGTCAACAGATAAAATGAAAGGACTGAGTCAAAGACTTATTTCAAGCAAGCAGTTGTCTGTGTAATTATCGGAAGTCAGTGGCATCTAACTAACTCATGTCCAGTGGCTAAACAAGCTATTTTGACATTTGAGGCCAATTACCTATAAGTTCTTCTTGCTGATAGTCTAAATGCAACATAAATAAATTAAATGTTATGGGTTGCCCTTTCATAATATTCCAAATGCCTTGTTCTGTTAATAATAGGGATGGACAGCTCCATTAACATAGCCAATA